CAGCCTAGTTTTGTACTGAGGTCCTTGAGTTGCTTGACCAATGTTGCTCTACTCAGTTTAAGGTTACTAATGGAAATCTCTACAAAAGATTTTCTACCGGTTATTAGCTTTCTGACCGAGAATTCGCTGTTCCCCTTGGCTCAGCCGGCTAATGTTCGTCGTTCGCGACTCGCTCTCCCCTCATTCTGTGGGGTTTGCGTTGTGGCGTCTGATCTTGTCTACGATGCCTGTGTCTCTTTCTGTCCTCACTCCTTCTGACGACTTTCCAGTCTTGCTCGTAATCTTTATCTTCCGCTCCACTACAATGTGTGTTTAGTAGGCGTATTTCGGGTGGATCGAGAGCGTATAGTAAACTGCAATCACCGTTCAATAGTTCTAGCGGTATGAGAAGCACTTCCAAACGTCACCTTCCATTTTCATATTTAATATTAACGAAATTTACAAAATTGTTCACAAGACTCATTAAAAGGTGAGGTAACCTTAGACAATCGAATTAGTAACTTGGAGCTTTCGGACGATTATTGCACGAATTTGTGACCCACCAAATTGGCGATTAGGCAACTGAACTAGTAGAAATGCTAGCGAATAGTTTCGGCCTCTTCTTCGCAAAATCAAAAGGATAAACGTTCTTGCAATATTGCTGGCGAATAGCCACTGCACTTTCATACGGCTGAAACCAAGTAGAGGTCTTTTAGGAATTCAATTACAGGCTTCTTGCTTTCGTGTTGGTGGAACAGAAAAAGAGATCACAAAAGTGTGGCACGGGTTTGCGACAAATTTGCTTACCTTCCCCACCTGCACAGCATTCTCATCTTAAATGGTAGAGTACACACTGAATCCGTACTCCCGATCCTAATATAAGATCGACGGACATAAAGAGGCTAACCACGTTAGATCACTTCTGCCTTCGCAGCTTAGCTCAGGTTAGGTGGGAACACCACATAAGTATTGAGCATGTCCAGCGTCTTGTTTGCGACGCAGGATAAGCAAGTAAACCAATCATCACCATTAGTTCGTGCGTAACGCTCCGACGACTTGGCCATATGTTACGAGTATCAACTCACCAACACCTGTGACGGGAATCTTTTGCCCCTCTGAGCAAGAAGATGGCGAGGGTAAGCCAAAGTATGACGTGCACAAGTGCAATGAAGTCTCTGGTTACGAAGTCGACCCGCGTTGGAGTTTTCAATCTCTGTATTAGGGCCCGAAACAATGACAGCAACGGTTCATCATGCTTCATATAGCTCAGCAAACAGATGTGTTTCAGAAGGAGAAGTTAGTGTTGACCGACCCAGCAGAAAGTTGGGCTCAGCACACAACTTGTTCTACCTTGCCTACCTGTTCAAAAGTGCTGTGTAAGTGAATGCAATGAACGGGTGCTTGGTTAATACATTTTAAGGTACCGGTCTTATGGTGCTCAAAATAATGAGAGTAAAGAGAAGTTCCACCGTTTGCGTACACGAAGTGAAGGACACCTCACATTCTGTGGGGTTCCACTGAAGCATGCCACGAATCCCCTCCCTAAATCCCTTGTTTCGCTGCCCCGGATCCATGCGCTGACGTTTTTGCGGCTTGGTTGATTGAACAAACGATCGTTTTGCTTGCAATTCCATCTGAGTGAATTTCTTAGTCGGTTGTGTGACTGGCTGAACTTCAGTTAACTGCTGCCGACATTTTGTCTCTTTTGAAGTCCGCTTTTAATTTGAAAACAGTGCTATTGTATATTTTGTGGTGGATAATGTCGAGGTCAGTATTTAATTTTTTACCCTAAACCTTTGTAAAAATAGCACCGTAGCGCACGTCTGGCCTTGAATTCTGATTTGATCCGGGAGACTTACGCGTTGCTTGAATCCACCGCCGAGTTATCGATAACATAAGAAAAGTGAAGAAAATCCGACAACACTCCAATCGGCTATGTTGTGTGGCTGGCTTCAACTGATAACCTCGCAGTGTGATATTGCGGTGCCATTTCAAGAGTTGCGGACGAATATTGTCTTTATTTCTCAAAATCAGATGTAGCATTGTCATCTCACTACACAGGAGCCGATGATTTCTACTACTGGCTCCAAGGCTTTCGGTCCTAGTTTTTAAGGGAGAGGGGACAACATTCTCATGATCTTGGTCACACTTCGTTGTGAGTTATCAAGCGCGGAACAATAAATTATGCTTCTGCTATGAATGCTTAGTGCGGATGCGGTATTCTTTATGGGCATATTAATTACGTATATTATCTAAGAGAAGGTGGAGCAGACTGCCAGAATGTCATCCACAATAAACCACGGTGTTGGTTGGACTTTTTCCTGTATCCAGGGCGTAAAATGTGCAGCCAAAACACTCGTGCATCGGCACTTTAGGTTGCATTAAATCGTAGTATATTAACAGTATCTACCTACTATCTTACACCCGACCGACTTGAAATGTGGAAGTTTCAGAGTCATCTATTAGTATGCTTTATTGGGATAATCTTACAGTGCTATGTGGTCCAATGTTGTCCTGATTGCTAGCTTAAGATCATTAGGAATGTACATGGATCAAGTGCTAACCTTCTAATGTTATGCAATGTAATTCATTTGATTCAGATACTGCACTGCCTACTCTCACTTTCGCTTCTCGTTAGAGGAGAAAATTTCATACTCTGTTTAGCACCTGCCCATCGATTCCATAGCCCTGGTGTTTCAGACGGTTACACGTCTTTGAGAAGTTCAGAAAAACCGCGTGAACTCACCCATGGGTTTCGATGCTTTCAGTCCAACTTGAGGGAGCAAGTAGTAGGTTTATCGTACACAACTGTCCTGGTAGAATCCATGGAGTATTGGTACATTAATATCATTTCTCTAAGTAAATCCTAAGTGCCTCAGCTATAATGGCTGCATTAGTTTGGAAGCAATGAAATGTGTGTTATAGCTGGCTGGATATGCAAGATTTCTTAATTTGTGCATGTGAGTGACGACATCGTGCTTCAGTACTGTGGGAACTTGTATCTCGTCGAGACTGCTATTCAGCTAGATTTATGGCCACCAGATGCAGTACTTTTGAGTGGGTATTGTCAGCACTAGAAGAACCATACTTTATTCAGAACATTTGCGGCAGTAAACTGGATATGGCCAAGTCATGGTGACAGTATGGTTTGTGCGCACCATATAGGAAGATGAGTTGTTTATCCGAAATGGCAGGAGAGTTGCTACTTAAAGACAGGACGGTTAGTCGGATACGTCTGTTGAGATGAACAACGGCCAACCTCAGTGGCGCAAGTCGAAACGGCCCTCGGAAAATTAAAGCGAAAACTGGGCAGCAATCAAAAATCGGTTATTAATGAACAAAATGTTATTTTATACTATGCATTTGTTTCAATTACTATTCACTGAAACGCACTATTGGTGACTGATTCTTGCTAGCCATCTCCCTAATTTCCTTGGCTCACGCGCATCGTTCTTTCGCAGCTATTTGAACATCTCTACCTTGACTGTAACAAAGTTGTGCTTCGTTAACAACCTCCAAACCCCATTCCGGTAGGTTTACTCTGTTTTTGAAGAAATGAACAACTTGCGTCGAAGGCGCTACTTGGCTTTCCTTCTGTCGGATCTGCCTGTTTCTCTCGTTTGGTCGATCAGTTGTCATCGCCCTATGTGCCGTCCTCTCCGGGTCAGTGTCGCGTGTGGCAACTCGCTTGGCTTTGTCCTGGACCAAAAGCATGCATGACAAACAGCCGCAACCCGATTCTCCATTGTTCGCCCCGCTCATGTAAGCGTAGTGAACTTGCGTGTGCGGCGTTGGTTTGATTTCCAGTCCAGTGGCTGCGCGTTGGTTTTACTCGCGTAACATGTCAGCTGTGGTAGCTGGCGGGTATGTATTGCTTCGTTGTCCCTCCATCTTGCGTATAACAACCCCTCCAACCACTCTCACTTCCGCAACTATCTACTTGTTTTGTGTTACGTTACAATACTTGAGGTAATTTGCATCTCCGCCCAATGTGAAGAATGATGAATTAGTGTGAATTACCAATCAAAGCAAGGATTTCATTAAATCAACCTCGCAACCGCTCAGCTGCGTGAAGGCAAATGTGGGCGCATTGTAGAAGCAAATGGTGGAACTGCGGCAGTTCGCTAGGCCAGTCAACGAGGCCTGCCGCAACGGGGTTCTTTGGACGCACACACAGTATTGCGAAAGATGGTGAGATCACTGAAGTGAGTATTAAGTGTTGTACTCATCAACCTTGATGGTAACAATAGAATGAGTTGGATTTGGGTCTCTAAAAAGTACTTATTCTGATATCGTTCTACTGAGAATCCAGGGAGGGGTGCAGGATTCGGCTCCGAAGGATGCATAGTGACGGGAACGTGAGGCCGACGTTTCTTTCAAGCGCACTTTTAGTGGTCATATTAGCCGTGGATGTACTCCAGTGCCACGAAGGCAAGCTTTAGCAGCGCAAGATGAACATCAGATATCCAACCCCTCTACCGCCCGTGACTCGACTCCCGGGGTAAGTAACTTGACTGCCTCCAGTCTGTCAACGACATTAGTGAACGCAGACACAAGTGGGTGGAAATGCTGATGCAAAGCTTTACATTTGAATGTGACAAAACAGGGCCATATTTACTTGGCCCTATTACTCAGCGGTTCGAAATATCTTGGAAGATTTGTTGGGAAGAATGCATTAGGTGTACCGATGCACTATCACCTTGAGAAGTTGGTAAATGCAAGTAGGCGTAAAATTACCGGGGGGCTCGCAAGTTCAATGTTTCTTTTGAGAGAAATGCAGATAGAGTTAGTTTGTGTACTGATTTTAACGCCACCGTGTGATATACAATTATAAGAAAGATGAATAGTGCTTATACTCTACAACCTCACAGTTTACGTAGGAGAACGAGTGTTTTAAGTATAACCAAAGTAGGAGACGGATCAACTAGCTTTTGAACAGCTTTCTAGCATTGACAGACCTAAATGCAACAGCTGTATTTATGCGTATTGAATTGCTCTAGAACAGGTAGCTCGCCTTGCTACGCGTAACCAGCATGCACGTGGCGGAAGCGAAATAAGCACTGCTATGGAGTAAGTCGTTCGTTAACTAACCGTGTCCACAGGAAAGCAGGAAAAACAAATAAAAGCGGAATTTCAAAAAAGCTCCGATCAATGAATGAAGAGAGGCCACATTTGTGTGCCCATTGTGTCAGTAATAACTGAAAGACCGTGAATTAACAAGACATCGCCATGTACAACGAGCGTGTACCGGAAAGAAAATCCTTCATGGAACGTCTGAAAAACAACATTAAAAAAATGGATGAACTAGAAGATCCGAACAGCCAATACCCAATGCAACCGGTTCTTGAGATGCAAAAGTCGAAAGGCACATCCGACACTAGCGATGCTGGGAGCCCAGTGGAGGACGGACTGTGTTACTTCAGGTTGCGCCGGAAAACCAAATCTCCAGTGACGACGAAACCCAGTCTTAAACTGGAAGCTATTCGCCGATCAAAAGCTGCTGCTATTCAAGTATTGCTATTCGGTCATGACGATATTAGTTTGAAAGAAAGAATTAAGCAGGAATTGTACAGACAACGAAGGCAGATTCGCTATGTACACGAACCACGATTTATGAACTACATTGACCCTAATTCTGCAATCGCTCGCGCCTACGAGTTGAATCTAAACAGACAAGAAGTACGTCAGGCCTTGTTACAGGTGCTTGAAATGGTGGCTGGAGACGACAGTGCAACAAGACCGAGTTAGCAATGACTAATCTTCAACGTTGGCTTCTGTGGCAGAACAAAGTTCTCGGGCACACATGACTGACGCTTGCAGTTGATACTGATTGAGTTCGATATTTTCACCAAAACATTTCTGTTGTTTGACAATACTAAAAGATTAATTGTTTGAGGTAATTTTCTTTCCAGCTAGCTCCCAGCTGCGATTAACATCGGTCGCAGGTATTTAACTTATGCAGTTCGACAAATCTATGTCAGCTGTACGCCGTAAGGACACTACGCTGCTGCACTACTGCCACCAGTCGCGCATGGGCTGGGTATACCGCGAAGACACCCACCCTTACGCGGACTCGAATCGATGACTTTTTGATTGCAAACGAAGCGCGCAGGACACTCGGCTACTGGCCGACAGATCGACAACTAATATGAATTGTTCTAAATTCACAAAGGCCGTATCTGACAGATCCCGAAGGGATGCCAATATGCCTCTGGGGCTGAAAGTGTTTAACAGGGCTTTGTGGATCAAACACTTTGATCAATGGCTCCGGATGGAGTCCCTTATCCCACTGTATTGTGAACCAGGTTTTGATTCAGCGTTAAAAGGTTGGGTACCTCGAATAAAACACTTCTCCTAAATTGGACGGTCGGAGAGTGCCATCTGCCAACATGACAATGTCAGCAGTATGCATTCCAAATTTTCCATTTACATCTTATCACTATTCCTTTTCTCGTGTGTTACCGGGAACTTCACCTGTCACACAATCAATGAGCTGAAAAATTTAATAAATCTAGGGTACTAAGATACATTGGGTCATTCAGTGTATATAAGCTGTGTGTGGTCGGTCCATGGACAAAATGCTCTGTAGACTGACACTATCTTGGGATTTATGTATGATGCCACTGCAGCACATGTAAAAGTCAGCAACGTCCAAAGGCATCTGCATTTGCCAAACTCGGGTTGAAATGAAATGGAATGTTAACCTTACGTGTCTAGTGACACCGAATCACAAATTCGCGATATTTACGATGCCAACGTGCCAACGTGCCAAAGGTAACCTAATGGGTATTCCACACTCGGTACTCTGTCTGAGCAAGTGCTCCGCGCTTCACATTCAATGTCGGTGTGTCCGCCAGACTTTTCTTCACATCGTGCTATTAAGGTTGTTCACAGTAGATCAGTCAATCTGCGAGCGGTTGTACAAGACACAGTCAAAGTGGTTTTGCCAGACCTATATTATGTCTGCAGTCTCTGTATACCCAGCGCCTGAACTACCATCGATTAGCGTCCTCAGTGGCTCCAGACTCGGTCCATACAACACCTACAATGAGTCAAAGTATTCCTTGTGTTGACGGCGATTTGCGTAGTATTCCAGCAGTTTCGCTTTCTGCTTCACCATGCATGTATTATGTGACGGAGCTCTTGAGTCAGGGTCATCGAATTCTGCTAAACCTATGTTTCTTCGCCAAGTCACTGGGGTCTGCCACATGTGCAGCAAATGCTGCCTGGTTCTCAGTTACCAATGACCTAATCTTCGTATTGTTCTCATCAAACTAATCTGGCCGCTTACACTTTGCACGCCTGATGGTCTCCACGGCAGCAGCTGTCACCTGATCGCGAATGTGTTGCCACCGGTCGCCCACTGTGGCTATGCATTCCACATCATACAGTAGTGCAGCCATGGCCTCCTCCAGCTCCAAACGTTTCTCCACAGTACCGAGGGAGAGTATGTTGAAATTACGCCGATTCACTGCAGGAGTACAATACATAGATTTACGAAAATAAACGTACAGTTTGGTCCTCACCTATTTGTGATCAGTGCCACACTCAGCTCCACGCAGTACACGTGTCATGCGCACTTCACGCATATCACGCTGACGTACGATGACATAGTCGAACAGGTGAGCGTGACCACACCGTGGGTGCGTCCAAGTTGCTATATCGCTCGCACTCAGTGCAAACCGAGTGTTCGGATTCGTTAAGCCGTAAGGGGTACTCAGTGAGAGCAACCTGTCACGGTTTACATTTACTTAAATAATGCCATGCAGATCGACAAAATCTGTCCACACCGATGCATCACATCCAACACATGCGTTGAAATCACCCAGCAGAAATAGTCGGTCGCTTCTCGACACAGATCGTATCACGCAGGATAACTGAGTGTACTATTGATCACGCATGTCATCAGGATAACCTATGTTCGAACCGTACGTGCCTATAAAAGTGGCAAACTTACCACTTGCGAGTAGCAGGCAAGCAAACATTAGTCGCGCGCTGAAGCCTTTTGCTTCACCCACCAGCAAGCCATTTAGGTGATCGGTATTGCAAGTCCTACCCCATGTTCATGTGGTGTTGAGGCGGCGTTGCCATCCCCAGTAGAACGTGTAGCCAACAGCTGCTTCATGCAACTTACCTTGCTCAGCGAGCCGAGTTTCACTGCGCGCCGCAATATCGATGTCGCAGCGCACCAATTCCATCGCTACCAGTGAAGCGCGTTGTTCGGTGCGCTCACTCGAGTTCCCGCCCAGTAGTGTGGGCACGTTCCAGCACCCGATGTTGAGTACTTTGCGCGCAAGCATACGATTGCATTGATAGTCAATCGCCCACCTTATATATATATGTATATGTATATATGTATATGTATATATATATATATATATATATATATATATATACAGTCGATTCCGGTTAATCGGACCACATCGGGACCAGACCATTTTGGTCCTATTAAGCGGCTGGTCCGATTAACCGAAGTTACCCGATGTAACAACATGGGACGTGCTATACATAACATAGGAAACTACTATTATGACCTGTATTGGTGGCATATATTTATAGCACACACAAAAATTGCTTTGATAACGAACATTGTTCACTGAAAAAGAAATTTACAAACAAATTTTTCTTAACGACCTACAAGGTATTCAGCATGCGAAGTACAGTTTTATACAAAGGGATTACCGAATTCCATTCAGCGTTTGAAGACCGTATCCAGTGTGGTTTGAAGCATTCTTTGAACAGACTGCATTTGCACAAAATCACCACAAACATGTAACGCAGTAATAGGACTACCTTCATTTCCTTCCTGTATGAAATAGCGGTGCAATGTTTCAATGCATTTCCTTGCATCCTGTTTTGTGACTGGCATCAACACGTTAGGGTTCTCTTCATCACTTCCATGGTCTTCTGTTGCTGTCGTGTGTTTCGCTGCTATTCGAGCAACAATGGCAGCATCGCATTCTTCATTTCCATCGTAGAGTTGAAGTTCGTTGTCGATTGAAAAATATTCTTCGTAATTTTCAACTTGTTTCAGCTCCACATTCTCGCCGTCATTTTCATTTACAATTACCATATCCACATCCGTCTCCGAGACAATATGCTTAAAGCCACAGTGAGAAAAACAGTTCCGAACTGTCGCACTGCTCATTTTTCGCCAACTTTCGGCCACGAATGTAACGGCTTGCAAAATGTTGACCTTTGCACTGATTTCTCCGGCCGTCGAGGATGAGGTCAGCAAGCCTTCCTCAATTGATTCAAGGATGTAATTCACCAATCTTGAACGATAAAAGGTCTTCAAATTTTTTATGATGCCCATGTCCATTGCCTGTATCAATGATGTAGTCTTGGGAGGCAGAAATTCCATCTGGATATTCCTCAAGAAATCCAAATTTGAATGTGCTGCACAACTGTCGAGAAGCAATAACACTTTTCTCGACTGGCGTTGTAGCTCTGTGTCCCAATCCTTCACCCAATCTTTAAAAAGTGTAGAGCTCATCCATGCATTTCTGTTCGCACGATACACAACTGGTAAACTGTCCATTCTGAGTCCCTTAAAGCAGCGAGACTTGGCACATTTTCCTATAACCAGCAACTTCCTCTTGTCTGTTCCGGACATGTTTGAGCAGCACAAGACAGTTACGCGATCCATTGCTTTTTGCAGCCAGAGAGAGTAACATGTTTCTAACTTAAGGAGCCGTCCGGTGTAGCCCTATAGTACAAGCCGGTTTAATCAGTATTATAGATGTCATCTGCTGGAAATTTTTCAAGAAGCGCTGGTAGTTTTGTTGATTTCCGTTCTCCAGCTCGACCGCTATTGGCACTTTCTTTCTCACCATGTGCTTTCTTAAATTTTACACCATGTCTAGATTTCCAACGAGACAACCAGCCGTCCGTAGATATAAAATCTTCGTGGCCCAGCATTTTAGCGAGTTCTTCTGCTTTGTACTTTAACATTGGGCCACTTACTCGCACGGCTCGTCCAGTAACAAAGGCAAAACAATCATTAAGGACCTCATCGACGTCTGGATCCTTGCCTTCACGCTTCCGTTTTTGGGAAGTACCTCGTCGTCCTTCACATTGTGCCCATTCTTCTCGCAGATTTTCTCTTGTTTTATCAGGCGCGATATTGTAGATTTTGCCAAGCAGGTAATTTCCACCAATCGACGCTGACTAGTGGTTGGTCCCTGTTCCTTGATCTGATCTAGGAAACGAATCTTCTCAGCTAACATCCAGTCCCGTCGTGGCATTTTGTTAACATGCAACAAGACACACACAGTTCACTAAGGTGAACTCGAGTCTATCTCCCGGGTATTTCTATGGTTGACCTAGCCACCTGCTGTCCTATGATTTGCCGAACCTGTGTGTCCGCGATCACTAGCCGTGCTCGAGAGTAGGCCAGCAATGCCGGCTTAGGGCATTCGGCTCAATGGACGTTCGGTACATCGATCGAGCGGTTAACGACATGTGAACAATCACGTATGTCTTCGCTCCGCCAACAAGTTTTGGAAACTACAGTCAGTTTCGGGCGGTTCTGAAGCCAATTAGATAGATGTGCCTCAAGATTGCCACAGTTCAGTTTATGCAAAGGCCAACTCGGTTTACCGTAACTGAATGATAGGCTTTCTTGCCCGACATATGAACTGTGGGTTTAGTCCAGACATCCAGGCACAGAACTTGATTCTGACACCTCTGTTACCTGCCACCTTCTATCTTCTGGTCCGATTAAGCGGAATTCCGGTCCTAATAAGCGGCTAAAATTAGGCTAGCGTAATAGGATTCGTTTCGGTTCTTCAGAATTTGGTCCGAATAAGCGGCTGGTCCTATTAACCGGTGGTCCTATTAACCGGAATCGACTGAATATATATATATATATATATATATATATATATATATAT